TCGTTTGAGGACCAGAACCAGAAGTTGCGGCTGTGGTGTTATCGAATTTCAGTTAAGAAGCATGGTCGGTGGGCGTGGTTCGTGACTTGCATCCTTGTGGTTCACCTCCTATTACTTGTGCTGGAATACTATGACGAGCCACCCTGGTGGGAATTGCTTCGAGGTAAGTTTTATATCCTTGATTCGAAATGTTGCCTGTTACTGATCGGTCAATCTAGCTATTATATTCTTGGCATTCATGTGTGTCTACGTTGCGAATGTCTTAATTCGGCTGATTGGCCTTGGGTGGCATCGATTCAGCCGAAGTTCATGGGATCTGTTCTCTCTCATAGTCGTCCCCGGCGCTTTCATTACCTCCGTCCTTGACCTTGTATACAGTAGATATCATGTTGTGGTGAAGCTCAACAAGCTTTTCCTCGTGTCTGTTGCTTTGTTGCTTATTCCAAGGAACAACCAGCTCGATCAGCTCTTCAAGACAGCGGCAGCCAGTTTGTCCGTGATTGGAAATCTTCTAGCTACCTGGTTCGTTCTGTTCTTGGTGTTTGGCATTGCGATGAACCAGGCGTTCGGCCTTACCAAGTTCGGTGAAAATGAGGATCACAACCAGAATTTCCGCGATGTGCCCAAATCACTTATCCTTCTGTTCCGGGCAAGTTGCGGAGAAGGGTGGAATCAATTCATGGAGGACTTCGCTACTATGACCCCGCCGCTATGCACGCAGAACCCCAACTTCCTTGACGACGACTGTGGAAGTGCACCGTGGGCCCGAACACTTTTCATTGCATGGAACCTGATTAGCATGTACATCTTCGTCTCGCTGTTTGTTTCATTGATTTTCGAAAGTTTCTCCTATGTCTACCAGCGGAGTAGCGGACTGTACGCGATCAGTCGCGAAGAGATCCGCCGGTTCAAACAGGCGTGGGCCACGTATGATCCAGACGGGACGGGCTTCATATCTACGGAGCAGTTCCCTCGGCTACTCGGTGAGCTCTCTGGTGTCTTTGCAATGCGAATCTACGAGGGAGAGTTCACGGTTGGAAGTATCCTTGAGAAATGTCGGATCGAACCTCAGAGGAACTCGATAGGTTCTTACGCAAGAAATTCCATGGTCTCACTGGCTGAGCCACCACACTCAATGCGGCGAAACTCTCGGGTCTCGTATGGTGTGGATATTGAAGAGCTCTCTCGGATCATATCCCGGATTCCAGTCCAAAGCATCCGAGAGCGGCGCAGACGATTGAATACCTTCTACGAAGAAATCCTTGTATCAGCAGACCCCGACCGTGGCATCTCCTTCCACCAGTGCTTGATGATTCTCGCTCACCACAATGTGATTAGCGATAGCAAGAGCCTGCGCCTCGAAGAATTCCTACGTCGTCGGGCACGGCTGCAGCGGGTGGACGAGGCTGTCCGTCGAAACACCGTCGTCGGGTTCTTTGATACGCTCTACTGGTCACGCGAATTCCGCCGCAAGATTGACCGCAAGAAGCACGGCCGGATGAGTGTGGTACCAACATTCACTGTGCCGGAGATCTTTGTCGACGATCCAGTCGACGACCCCGAGCACGACGTGCCAGCTTCCGGTGCGGTCACACCCCAGACCCAACCAGACTTGGATGGAAACTTCCCTCCTATGCTCTCACCGGTCTCGCACCACAGACGAGCCGAGTCCAGCCCAACTGCACACCGGAATGCTCTACCTCGCATCAATACCAATTTGAGCGGGTCAGCATCTGGCTCCAGCACACCTACGAGAGAGTGGTCGAGTATCAGTCCCTCGATCACCCCGCGTCACATGTATGGGGACCGCACTTCGTTCGATACTGGCGAAACCCACGAGGTGCTTTCGGTCACCGATACTTCGCGTCAGAACAATAGTATGAATGTACAGGATGTTATGCATTCGCTAGATAACTCCGCCTGGGGTGAGAGTATCCGGCGAAGCTTCACGCAGCGACGATCGGGTGATCGCACTTCTGAATAAAATGCGGTGCATATCGATGTGAATTTTGATGTTATCACGAAGTGGATAGTACGCATTTGATTTTGATTTCTTTTTTTTTCATTCTTTAGCATTCCCTTATAGAGGGATTTCATTTTTGTTGTTTGGCCCGAGTTTCTGGCTTGTGTATACTACTCTCTTTAGCGGAGCATTTTGCATAGCAGGGAGCATTTTGGGATTCCATCTATTTCTCTATAGAATTGGATACAACATATACAATTATTGACTCTATACATTAAAATAGATCATCATTTAAACTATAGAAGACTGCATGAAATTAAGTGGGTCGAACTAGTTACTATTGATGCCGAAAGAGGAAATCGGTACAGGAGACCTATATGAACATGAATATGACCTAAACGTTGTAGATAAGTAGCTTTAGAATCTGAAACCGGTTAAAAAAGAAAACTCGAAAGTGTCAAAGGCATTGTGTATCCGTTTGCAGGGACAATTACATTCATCCGCATGCGTCGCCCGTCAAGTGTCTTAACTCTCCCTGCAGCACAGTCCTTGCAGTCAATCCGTTATAGGATTATTGGATCCAACTAATCCCCAGGGGTACTGTCTACATACAAATAACTCCAATCCTCCTCTACTATGATATAGTCTTCAACAAAGCCTCACCGTATACCAATTCCATCTACAAAGCCAACACAATGAACCACATCACCTCACCATTTCTCTCTTTGAAAACATCCTTCCGCACCAGAAGCCAGAGCCCAAAATCAAGCAGCGACACAAGCCCAAGTTCAACAACAACCTCACCACCCTCCTCCCCAACGTCCATGCACTCGCATCACACCTCTCCACACCACCTCTTCAACCTATCCTTCCACCCCTCCAAAACCCACACATTCCAGCGGCAATCCGATACTGTCAGACACACCAGTAACCCCAGAAATCAATCCCGCCCGCGCCAAGTTTCAGACAATGCCAGCGGCATCAGCGTGCCCCCCTGCGTTGTCCTACGCGGCCGCTCATCGATGGTCCTCCGCCAACGGCCCTCTAAGACCGATCTGGCGCTAAGCGAGGAGCGGTCGCGATGTGATGAGGATTCCATTGAGAGGCAGGGGTTGGGGTTGATGGAGCCGCGGCCGGTGGATTTGGGGGTGGGTGAGGTGAAGCCTAACTTTGTGATGGGCGGCATCTTTGAGGTTATGGAGGGGCAAGCTTAGGCTTGACCCTTCACTTACTTTTTCTTTGGACTTTTTTTTTTTTTTTTTACTTTACTATTCTTGTTCTTTTTGTTCTTACTCGGCTTAAGCTGTGGATTTGGGTTTAATTGCCTTGTTTCTCCAGATGTGATATTGGGTTTTTCTGCTTTCGGAAAAGAATGTGAGAAAGGGAATATTGTATAGTGGCTGGATATTGGAAATATGTCAAGATTGTGCTTTTTTTTTGGTTACATTTCAGCTCTTGCGATAATAGCTGCCCAAATGAATACCCGATGTTTCAAAGGTTATTTTGTGGTCTTGTCTGATATCGTTTATGGCCCGGGCTTGCCCTATATTAGTCTTGTCCTGCCATCTGAGTAAGAGTCGCATATGACATCTAGTCCGTATTTCTAGGTAGGTCTAGAATATTGTTTATTTTGGTAGCATCGTTTGACATTTGTATTTTGAGAAATTTGGTTGATTAGCAATGTGAGCTCAAGCACTACAACAGCGCGGAAAAGCTCCTCTGGGCTAACACAATTGCACCGCTCTAGCTGAAATATATAGCTACGCATAACGAGCTATCAGCCCCGCCTAACACTCTATTGGGGTAACAGCCTGGAGCCTTGATAGGTCGAGCGCTAAGCGCTTTTATACTACTAGTGATCTTGAGATCCCTAGGATAGTAGGATTTTCGTGCCCCCACGATATATATATATATTTCACCCTTATTTATTTCTGCTCTAGCCCACTCCGTACATATGCACTAACAATACCGGCAGCAACCTTACCGAGTATACATCTGAATCAGCCCGTATACATGTATTGCCGTGGCATTATAGCCTATAGGGCAGCGGGCTTATTCACGGCGTGGGAATTGCCTGCCTAGAGGCTAGATAGGTGATGAGGAGTGATCTTGGTGGTTATAATTGAATAATGACCTTAGAGAATAACTAGATCAACGTTAATGAAAATAGTTCTAAGGGTATTTGCGGCCTATAATTATTGCCAACTCATATGATATATAAGAAAAGTCGTAGTTGTGTTGTTGCACGGACCATATATAACCTCCCAAGGCACAAGCCCCCGGTCACCGGGTGCATATAGCTTATAATTTATGATTCGGTTCCAAGGTTTGATAGAATTATTACTTAGCTTATATAAAAGCTTAATTTTAGGAACTTTTTCATATACAGATTAAATCAACTTATGGATATGAGCTAGTTAAGATGCTATGGGATGGAGTCGAGATGAGGGCTAAAGACTAGTGCTTTATATACTTTAGATAGTAGGCCTGTCGGCTGACGAGGAGTTGAAAGTATAATGGTATAGCCACAGTCAACATCACTCTATCAAAATATGTCCAGGTATATTTCCATAGCCTTTACTGCAAGATCCTACCATTGTCATTGTTATCTACTGTCAACCATGCTTGGCCTTGGCCCCTATAACGGAATGATACCACCAGGGCCAAGTCAAGTAATTCGAGGATAATTTGAAATGAAGCTTTGTTTGTTTGTTATTGATAATACATCAATCTCACCAGGGTATTGTGAACCTAACATATGCCAAATGCAATCAAAAGATACCGGAGATGAAAGAAACCAGGATGCCAGTAAAGATGCCTGAAAGAGGGGAGGGGGTAGTTGATGCTTTATGCACTTGCGTTATGGTCATGACTCTGCAAAAAAAAAAAAAAAAAAAAACCAAGTCGCTAATCAAACATGCTAGGGGTATGAAAAATCGCAAAGAACAAAGATGTGAGGATATTGACCAGTTGCCAAATATTGACCGGTTGACAGGATGAATCGCCACAAAGCGCGGTTAGAACAAAGGAGAGCCTATTAAGGCTTCGATCCTTGGCCCTTACGCTTATTTGGCCACAGCTGCCCACGGCACTTCGCTTCACCACACAGGCACTGGACGGCTTCAGGGTCAATCTTCTGAGGCGTTGTTTTTTCCTCGCCCTGGTTATAGTCGAACGTCAATTCAGTGCCAGGGGCAATGTCCCGGTAGGCGAAGAAAGCGAGGTTATACAGATATTCATCGGCGTGGTTAGTCGTGCAGACAGGGACGATCTTGCAGTTTGGATTGCAAGAGTGGTTCATGAACCGAGTTGCCGAACCAAACTTGCGGCCGTCGATGACTTTCATGTTCTGTTCTTCATCGTCGTCGTCCTTGACATACCAATCCAAAGAGAAGAGGTATGATTGCGTGTGTGAACCATCTGTTAGGTTTTCACGCTCGTCGGCTTCGGCCTTGGTAATCACCTCACCGAGGTAAAGATCAATAAATTGGCCACGGTGAATCAAGTCGGGGGACCGAAGGCCTAATAAAGATCATATCAGATTTGTATACATAGGCAAGGAAAAGACGGATGAAGTGAGTGAGACAAACCGAAGCCACGAGACCCAGTATCAAAGATTTCTAGTCGAACAGTCCTCCCTTTCTGAACCACATGGTTCCAGCATCTTTTCCCGCTGCAGCCACAACGAGAGTTGCATTCGTAGATGATCGCCTTACGCTGAAGAAAACTCTTATTTGCGACGATCAATTTAGGGTTGTTTTCACAGATCTCGTAAGGGACGATTCGATCCTCAGAATCCTCTTCCTTACTTAGGCAATCGCATGTGAAACGGTCGCAGCCGCCAGTAGCAGGGCATGCACATCCGATGTTAAAATCCGACTCATCGGGGATCCGTTCAACACCCTCACGGTACTGATAACCGTTGACGAACTCAAAGTTATCCGCTAGTTTAGCAAGTCGCTTCGGGGAATCAATAGTCGGAATGACCGTCGGCCCATTGATGCGCTTGAGCTTCTCGTCGAGAGTGTGACGGAGCTTTGCAAGGTGGTTTGTGGGTGATGGTACGTTGAGAACTGAGGTTGATTTGAATGACAATGGCACAGAACGACGGTCAACACGACCCTTGGTAGTAGGGTATGCGGCTTTGTTGACTCTGTCCTCTTCATCAGTTGTCGGAAAAATGGTTGCATCCATTCCATTCACTTTGGAGATGCATTGCGCAATTGCAATATCGCGCTTTTGCTTTGCTGTCGGCGATGGGATCACAACACTGATTTGGGGTAGCTTTAGACTTGGGGCGGGACTAGGCGTAGATGGGTCGGGGTGAGCATGCGACAGGCGCGGGCGCTGTGCATTGTGGGCATCACTTGACGAATCAGAGACATCCTCGAATATATCCACGCTTTTCCTTTTCAGTGGCACGGTTGGTGCCCGATAGGCTAAAGCTGTCACAAATGGAAGCTTGCCCTGTTCCAATTTCTTTCGCTAGAAGTGATATTTAGTAACAATTAAATAAGAATTTGTGTACATGGGAATGCATTGCCAGACAATTAAATGAACAGTTGGCTGGGGGTGAAAGGAAAAAACTTGAGCTTAGACAAAGAAAGTGTGGGGCACGGGCCCAGGAGAAGTGTGGGCTGGAGTCTTTGAGATTGAACGGGCATAAGAACGTACCACCTCTGAATCGTTTGGTCCAGTCTCATCCGTTAAATCAATGAACACTCGGTTCTGAGCCCCCGAATCAAGGGAAACGCGCCCCGCCATCCTAAGCGCGTAGGTGTTAAGGGTGGGAAGCTTCAGGGCGCGTACAAAGCCGCGCCGAGTCTCACAATTGCATACCTTCGAAGATAGTAGAGATGCACGGCGAGGAGATTAAGCAATAAGAGGGCCCTTGAGATACTCGAGGTATCGACCAGTCAAAGATCCTATAGCCTAGGAGACGAGAGAGGGATATGAAAAAGAAACGTCGCGAGATGAAGAAAAAAAAAGAAAAGAAAACACAATATCTCCAAGCCGCGCCGATAAAACTAAAAGATACTAGAAGAGCATCCGATGTTTGTGGCGGCTGGGAAACGTGGTGAAAGATTGAGGGTTGGAAGTGGTGACGAAGTGAGGTTAAGGGAACGAGCATGTGAAGATCATGGCGGCCCTGTGACAGGCGCTGACTCAGCAACGTTATTATAATCTTGCCTAAATCAGTAATGATCGCCGCGGCGTTAGTGTTCATTGTTTCCTCTATCCAAAGAAAAACACGCCTATTTTTATATTTTTATGATATTCAGAGTTTACACTATCGAATAAAACTAATTTTGTCCTTTTATTTCGAGTTTGCTGTGTCCTGGGCTGATAGGGGTATTCTGGTTAGTGGCCGCTGGTTGGCAATTAAAAAGGGTTGTTGGGAAATGCGGGAACAGCGCCCGGGACAGTTATGCGTCTTTAATCGGGCTCTAACCATCCGATAGTCTACAGACCTAAAACGAGCTCTAGAATGCATGAAAAAAAGCCTTACAGTATAGAGCTCGGTGTCCACTATCGATTGGTATATTTATCAACCAGATCCGAGGTGGGGATCGACATGTAGAGGGCTTTAAAGCTTTGAGGACAATGGCTCTTGTAGAGTCATGGCATCAATTTCGGACCATGCGGGCCGTGGCGCACCTCACTTCCTCCAATCAACGTCCTACAACGTTGATGACTCAGCATATGAGCTCGCCTATTTTATAAAGAATTATTAGTATAAATATCTAGAATCCTATATTAGATATTATAGATATATCGGATTATGTAGAATTTTGCAGGCGTCGTGCGTGTTAGAAAAAAAAGCGAAGTATATCAGATCACGTGGTCACCGGGGCCTCCTATTAACCTCTTAGTAACTACACATAACTAGTTAACTAGTTATGTCCTTCCTACCTTAGAAGAGATTCCGTCGCATCCGGCTAGCTTAGGGGCATTCAGTTCTAGCCCCCATAAGAAGGCCCGCTTTTGGGCGGTGATGAAGCCGAAGTTGGGGGCGCGGGAACTACACTAGGGCCCCTAACGCAAATGAGTTCCTTGTGTCCTTTAGTTGATAGATAACTAATAAATAAGTTTGTTTATAGATAGTTAAGCTTTATATATAGTTTTATTTCCATTTATTCAGTTATTTAGTAAACACCAAGAGTTTTGCCAGTTTTAGTTGCTCGAGGGAATCACGTAATTCCGCCAACTGGCGAATTCGATGCGGGCCCCAAAACCACGCAGCGTGCGGCTTTGGGGATGCCACAAGTGGTTTTTAGGGCTTTGTGCCACGCTCCTGGATATTAGTTCCACGGTTTCACGAGTATTCTCAACGAACTATCAAATTGTATTCTACGAATAATAATTTTTTTTTTTTATGATTCTTTTTTAAATTGCATACATACATACATACCATAGTAAGATACGCTCCACAACATACTATATGCCCTAGGACCACAATATATTTGTCTACGTAAATACAGATAGGCATATACACCCTACAAACTGTAGACACCATGCCCGGATTTGGAATATAAAATGTTACGAGTTATTATATTAGTAAAACCTTGGGAATGAGCTGGGATTCCCAATATGTGTTGGTTCGCTCCACCGGCTCCAGCCACGTTTGATCTAACGTTAGCCTATATGTTTTTCTGTTATCCCCAAGGCTAAGGCTAAGGGGAAGATAAAGTTCAGGATGAGAGGCCAGCCATGGATTCATAGGTAGGCGAAGGTGTTGTATGAACTATATGGATCGTCCGACAGCGAAAGGGAGGTAGGAAGCTAGTATACTTAATTGAAGTATAAAACAATTAGAAATGAACTTATCTGAGTAGCACCGACCAGCAATTATGATCATAAACCATACGGATTGCCGCAACCATTTCGTATTTGTAGGCCGAACAACATGAAGTTCATAACTGTCCAAAGAAAGGTACACCACCTCCCTAGGCCACAGCCAATAGATGACAGGAAACAAAGGCTAAAGCAAAAACGCCATTAACCAAGAATTATCTTCACTCGATTTTAATATACACTATGAAGACTAGACTAACTAGGTCAATAGGTATTGAGATAGGAGAGCAGTACTTAGGGTCGGGATGAAAAAGAGCAAATAACGGGCTAATGAAGATAAATGAATCCCTCTTTGAAAAATAGGAGGAAAGCAAAGATAGCGATGGACATGCAATGATAACGGGGCAGAATAGATGAATGCTCGTGCGGATGCGTCGTGAATGGATGTAACTCAAAACAAATCGCCGTCTGTGTGTCACAAAGACAAAGGGAAAAGAAGTCTTAGGAAATGCACTCTTTGGCCAAGGATTCTATTTCAAAAGGACAGGTCACAGGTTCAATGCATCGAGGATCTTCTTCGCCATCTCTCGATACTGCCACATTCCACCTGATACCTTCTTGAACTGAATACCATGTAGGGAGAACAGAGGCACCTTCACGATTAGGATTTCGAATCGGAGGACGAGGTTCTCTCCGGTGTCGCTCTGTACACGGGTAGTGGTTTCGCCAACGACACGTTCACCGAGGGAACCGTGATCCCGTGCAACATATTCATCTGAGCCATCCGAGTTCGTGGTAAAACTGCGATCCGGCGCAGCTTGAGCTCGACGAAGCTTGGAAGGTCCAGCGCGGCTGTCGTCCCGGCTGTCGTCGTGGTTGAGGAGGCCACCAAAGCTGATACGACGGCGGTGCCCTGATACTTGCCCCTGTCGCTCCGGGCTGGGAGGGGCAACATCAACTACCTTGTCGAGATCGATGCTGGGGGCATGGCGACAGCTAAACCCACCCTTGATCTCGACATATTCAACTGCGAGCTGCCTCAGGACCCGAATAATGTCAGCCCGAATAACGGGCAGAGGTTTGCTGCTGGTGGTGGAAACACTGAAAAGACCCTTGAGGAACACTGGTTTGGACAAATCTTCTCCCTCGTTGGCGCTCTCCAATGCTGTCCCTGCACCGGAGATGTCTGCATCAGTCTCTTCGGGCACGTTGGCCTCTCGGGTAGCGTCTCGCCGGGCGCGGCGTGCCTGAATACTTTCTCGCCGGGCGTGTCCTAGTGACATGGTGCGTGCCGTATGTGTGCGTCCACCAGTCCTGACGCTGGCCAGATCTTTCTGATTATTCGGAGCAACTTGATCAGAGTCACTAGCAGAGGGTGGTTGACGGTCTGGAGCGACATCTAAGGTATCGTCGTCACTTCTCCGTGTGGCTCTCCGAGGTCTGTAGTCTGCCGAATTGACGCTGGCCGATCTCTCCAGGAATTTGTTGGACCGCGCACTGCGTTCCGCGGTCGTTGGCGCCGCCAGCAGATCCTGCTGTGGTGGGCTGTCATTCGAAGAAGTCCCACCTGGAGAAGGCTCCGCCCGTCGGGTTCTCCTTACACTGAAGCCACGGTGCATCGGAGACGCTGAATCTGCAGGAGGCTGAACGTTGAGTGTGGGTGTGTTGGGGGTACTGATGTGTTCACGATCCGCATCGCGGTTGCGATCCTTGGTCCTGCGAGTGCTGAATCGTCTTAAGAGTCCAGCAGCGGTGCTTTCTTTCTTGGCGGGTGTGTCGGGATGCGAGGTTGGGACTGCGTGCGTAGATGGCGAGGAAGAATGATGTATCTTCATTGCTTCCGAGGCTTCGTCCTCACCGTGCGTGCGGGCCCGTGGCCGAGATCGCCGTCCTGTGTCCTTGTCTCCTGCCAACTGGTACTGATTGGTGTGGGCCGCTTCCGGGGCCCGCAGTTCAGGCACTTGGACTTCGCTGGGGGGTTGACGAAGACCAAGGGCACCAGGCCGTGCTTCGGACCGCTCTCGGTCAAGCTTTTCTTTGACTAGATGATATGTGGACACCAACGGACTGTAAGCATTCAAAGGGTCGTTGCCTAGTTGCACCGCCTCGGCCGAAGGCGCGGAAAGGGTATCACGACTGGCGGCAGAGTTTCGTCGCTTGTAGAAATCGAACACTCCTCGTTTGCGCTCCGGGTGATTGGAAGCAGGCTGTTGTTGCTCGCGGAAGTTCAGCCGGATAGCATTTTGGTAATCCTCAGACTCCAATACTTTGGTCAACTGAGCTGTAATGTACTCGGGAGGCCCAAAGTCAAACCCGGTCATCTTTTCAACAACCTCTAGATCCAGAGGTAGCTGCAAAGGCTCACGATGAGGGAGGTAGTTCTCTGGGGGAGCATTGAACCCCTTATTCATCCAGGGGTGGCTCATGATCTCGGCCAAGCTGGCACGCTGTTTGGGATCAGTGACTAGCATGCGGGATATGATGTGGCGGCACTCTGCGAAGTCTGAATTAGCAATGGAATCAGAGAAAGCTTCCTTTCAAGGCTCACTTACCAGCAGTGAGACCCGGTGGGTACTCCACGACACCTTTCTTGATTTTGGCATGCAGCTGAGGCATACTCTGGTCATCGAAAGGTACCTTTCCACAAACCAAGACATAAAGGACAATCCCAAAGCTCCAAACATCAACTTCGGGCCCTGTATAGGGTCTGGCCTGTAGCAACTCTGGAGCAGCGAAATACAGACTACCACAAAATGTCTTTAAGATGCCTTTGGGCGAGAACAAGTTGCTGAGACCAAAATCAATGATTTTGATATCACCAGTCTTGCTGATAAGGATGTTCTCAATCTTTAGATCGCGATGGACGATGCTGTTGCGGTGGCAGTAATCCAACGCGCTGGCGATCTGTCGTGCGAACTTGCGCGCCTGCTTTTCCTTCAGTTTGCCATGGGAGATGATATAATCCAGCA